CTGGCCACTATGGGGCTAGCCATCCCCCTGCTTGAAGTATTCCCTCCTCACCCCAGGCCAAGTGGCAGAACCAGGTCTTCAGGGGCCTTCGGAAGGACAGGAGTGAGGGGGCCAATTGCACCTCCGGGGGCAGAATGTTCCAAAGCAAAAATGCTTTCATTTTTAAGGGGCTTCCCAGGTTGAATTAAAATCTGTACTAGAAGCTGGAGGTTTGTATTAGCAAGAATTTGGGCTTGGATACAAAGACGTCATCTCGGACTTGGGAAACACAGACTATATTTCAAGCCCTAAACCTGGAGAAAGGCTTTGCTATGGAGCCCTTGTATGGCATGAAAAAGAAACGTCCAGGGAGAAACCTGAGATGGAGCTGCTCTTGCATCAAGTGAGATAGTTGGCCTGTACCATTCTTTACAAACAAAAAAAAGGGCAGCCAGCACTTTGGCATCATTCTGGTGGTTTGGATTATGGCCATGCAGGCTGACAGTGTTCAGAAGAGAGGAGTGACCCAGGTTGCCTTTGTCCTTTAGAAAAAAAGGGCTGCTAGGAGTGGGCATTCCTCAGCCTTACCTTTTCAAGTGTACTAAAAGGACAGGTGGCAACTTCCATATTTCTATTTTTTTCAAGGAATCTCTTCGAGTTTTGCAATGGCTGCAATAAAATCGATTGTTATCCGTCAGTTTTTCTTCTTTGGAAAATAATCTAAGGCATTCCTGGTGGAAAAACAAAAATGTACCAGGTGAGCTCAAAAAGCAGAACACGAAATTTGGACTCCTTCATTGGCATCGTTAATGTGTGTGCGGTGGTGGTGTTCCAAGTCATTGACAGAAGCCTTAACCTTCCATGAGCAGAAAGAATGTCGTTTTTTAAAGTAGCTTCAACAGCAAACTTAATTTTTCAAGACTGGAAATGGCAAACTCACTCATTTTTCAGTCAGTTCCATCTGATGCCACACATTGATGGCCAGTGTAATTTTTTCCTACTCAAACCAAGGATCAACTTTTGAAGGTGCTACCTAGACTTCAGCCACAAATATACAGCACCCTGTGACTCATTTTTTTCTACCGTTAAAGAGACTGTAGCCCTTAATGCTGTGATAATCTATTTTATTAGTGTACGCTCAATGAAATCCCAGAAACCAGATAACCTTAACTTTAAATGGATAATTGTATAGGGTAAAACAAAGATAACCTCAGCCATTAAAAGCTTGTTTGGAAATTAACTTCCTGGTGGTGGGAAGACAGGTGGAAGATCTGAGATGGACTTCCTGCCTTTACTATTGTTGCCAGGACAGGCAGAACTAAACGGTTGCTGCATGGCCATTGTTAGGTGAGAGGAGAAACTACATGTCATAAAACAGAGAGAGAGAGAGAGAGAGAGAGAGAGAGACAGACCCTTGCCGTGTTAACAAAAGAACCATCTGGAATGTTAAGAATTTTCAAACTGTTCACCAACCTGTAGGGTGCATTTACTAGTGGAGGCAAGTGGCAAAGATAAATACATGAAAGCCTCAAACGTCCGTGACTTTCTGTGACACGTCAGACACTGCACTGTGGATTTGAACTGGCCTTGAAAGAGTGCTACGATAATAGATTCGTTGAGCTGTTTGTGCTTGTGCCAGGCAAGATCGGCTGCTTTTAAGTCATCCAGGTGGTCGTTATTTTCTTCTTTATAGCGCTTTCGGTTGTCCGCCTAGAAAATGGGAAAATGAAAACATGTCAGTGCCTGCGTGAAGCGGTGGAAGGTGTGTTTTTATGAAGAAAGCAATGACAATCGTGTGCAGCTATGGAAAGACAGGAGGAGACTGAATGCCACACAGACACTTGGTTCTAAAGACACATTCCACAGACTTGAATGAGAGACACCTAATATTTTCCCCTTCTTCTAGACAATGTGACACGTCTTGACAAATCCCAAAAAGAGTGTCAAGCATGATGCAAAGCTTGGAAGGAAGGATGATTCAGAAGTATACTGTAAAGACTTTGCCAGCAGAACATAAATCTGCCTTTAAATCTAGAAGTACATTCTCAAACTAGGTGAGACCTGGATATCTAACTGGAATCTAGGAAAGATGAGGATGCAAGGTTGAGTAAGCAGTATCCTCTGAGTCTCCTTTAGTCTATGTGCTCTGGGAAGTCCAGCTCAAAGTCTGGGAAATGAGGTTCATATGCCCGGCCTGCACAAGCAGCAGAATTCATAGAATGGCAACTGCAGACTGGAGATTGCATCCTACTATGCTCCCCTGTGAGTAACACCTTTCGGATAGTTAAAAAACACCAATAACAAAGAGTAAGATGAATTATTTCTTGATCTGCTAGCTTTTAATTTTATGGGGATTAAAGGAAGTATGAAGCATTCAAAAGTGACATTCCCCATCTGCAGTCCGAAAAAACATCCAGGCTTTCTACAATTTAATCCTGATGCTTATGGACTCCCTACCTAAAATACATAACAGCTGGATCTGACACACAAAACAACACACATCACAGTGCATGGCCCTTTATGCAAACTTTTGTTTTTAAGGTACATCACAATGAAATATTATATTGCCATTTGGAAAAGAAATGAGGAACAGTTTTTTCCATCAGTCATGATGTGATCAAATACTTATATACATCAGAGACAGCATGAAAAATTTTTACTTACTCTCTAAGAGGAGCCACAGTATTTGTAAAAACAAGAACGGAAAAAAAGATTCTGAAAAAGTAGATCTAAGGGGTACATAGGTTATTTTATACAGGCTAATAAAGCAATTCAAGTTCAAAAGGAAGGAAGTATAGATATTCCTGCTGGACTCTGCCCAAGGCCATGATTATTATTAATCTAGATATTGAATTCACAATGACTCAAGGTATCTCTAAGTGATTATCTGAAGACACAATACATTTCCTACTCCTATAGACCCAGGCAGGGTGTCAGAAGGACTTTATGATGCTGTTTCCAACACTCTTCACAGCTTAAGCTGGCTGACAGTAATGGGAGTCGTAGCTCAGTTCTTAGGGAAGCCATAAGTAAAGCAACCTATCAAGTGGCCCCATAAGTAGTATCCAGCCACCAAATAAAGTAGAGGATTGGTTGGAAGAATGGCATGGAGAAAACTGGGGGAGAAGGTGACTAGCTGGCAGGCCTAGAGTTGGAAGATTCCATGTTCCCTGCAACCCCTAAGAACTGTGAAGAAGATTCCTAATGCCCCTTTAAACGTTGACTTTGAAACGGGAACTGCCTGCTTCTGACGTGGCTTATTTTCTGCACTGGGTGACTCCTGCCTCTTTAAAAAACCCAATTCTTTTCTGAGACGGATAGGAGGAGATTGGATATGGTGGGTAAAACAGCACCTTCTCCTTTTCTTTTTTAATGTTATACTTCAATGAGTAATATTAAAAATGGAAACCTACTTTATTTAAGTCTTCATGAAGGCCATCCATTAAAAACAAAAGCAGCTCTTGAGAATCTTGCTGACTGTACCCAGCAAACTGCTCGTTAATCTTCCCAATGGTGATTTTGAAGTCTTTGGGGCTGATGTACCTGTACTGCCCTGTCCAGAGAGCTTTCATGATAATGCCAAACTCTTCAGCCACTTCGCCTTTGTGCCCCAAGAAGTTGGATCTGCAAATTGAACAATTGACATTTCGGAAAATGAGAATTGGGGGCCAGAGGGATCTGCAAAGAGTCACCTACAAGTTTATTTTTAAGACGCTTACGTATGGTGGAGCCCTGGAGTGGTTATGATTCAATGATAGATCTGCTTTGCATGCCGAAGACCCTGGATTTAGCTTCTGGCATCTCCAGGTCCAGCTAAGACAGACCAAAACTCTGGATGGCCACTGAGAGTCAACCTAGGTGATTTGGAGCTAGGTGACCAATATGAGTCTACAGAAAGTAGCTTCTGATTTATATAATTCAAATGGATAGGAATCTATTTTGTCTATACTGGTCAGGGAAAAGCAGCCAAATTTCTCTACCCCAATGCCCTTTATACAGTTGGAACCAGTAATGATCAGGTTCCAGTTGTATGTGTCTCCTGAAGCAAAACCAAAGAATCTTGTAGGATCTTAAAGACTTTACAAATTTAAAATCACACCAGCTTTTCATGAACCATAGTCCAAGACAGCTGTACCAGCCATGAGAATCCTAGGAGGATCAGGGAATACGGAGCTGTCCCATCAGTTGCCTTTTGATATCTGTCAACCCCCTGCTTGAGCATCAACAATGCAAGATTGCAGCGTCAATGTCATTTTCCTCTAACTTTCATCTGTGACATTAAGTGCTTTAGATATATGGCATTTGGTGAAGAAAGATATAAAAAATAAGTTGTGCTGAGGGGAGTCCTCCTTTATACCTTGCTTAAGCTCTATGATTAAAGAGAACACAAAGGCACTGAGTAAAAACATTATCATGCCACTAAAGAAAGAATTCATTGCAACCAGGTTTGCACTCAGATGGGAGCTCAGGGAAGCAATCTGGCATGTGGAAAAACCAATTACCGGTTGATATCTTCTTGATAGTAGTTCCTATTGAAATAATCAGCCAGGTGTGGGGCGTTGCACAAGCACTGGAGCACAGAATTCATATAGCAAGTGTTTCCCAAATTACGAAGGCCAGTCAGAGCTGGTCCCATCCCCCCAAACACAGGATTCAGATGGCGGATCTGTGATGCTGAAAGCCTGGAAATTTCCGTTTTTTGATAGCATACTGGCCTGTGGGGGAAAAAAGGTAAAATCAAATATCTTTTCCTGTTATAGAACTCTAAAAGCAGCCTTTTGATTGTTGTCAGGTGGTGCCAAGTAGGTATGTGATCAGTTACAAAAAAAATATGGAAAGATCTTTAGGGAGAAAGGTTTTTAAATGACTGTCTGTCATTCTCTGTCAAGTGCTTCTGTTTAGAAGATCATCCCGGGGACTTGTCCCTACATATCCCAGGCAGATTCATGCAGGAATATCCTTTATTCCTTCCCATATCCCACTAACGGCAGAATAATTTTGTATCCTGCAAAAACCCTTTGAGAGGTGGGTAAGCAACGTACTTATTCTCACGATTAACAGTAGGAGTGGGGATTTTCTTCTTCTCTTCCTCTTGAACAGCCTGAGTTATGTCTGGTGAAGAGTAAGAGCGTTTCAGTTTGGAGTGTTCTCTGTCCCGCAGATCAGTAGATGGAGGCTTTGGCTTATGAGTCGGTGGGGTAGTGGGTGGAGTGGCTGATGGAGTCATTTCCGGCGGATACATGTGGACTGAATTGGTGGGTGAGTGGTAGTACCGAAAAGTCCCAGTGACTGGATCAAGAAACTTCAAAGGACACACACAGAAGACAATAGCCCAAAAACAAAAAGGGGAAAAAGTTAAGCCAGATTTCTAAGATGGCTTGTTTGGATTTGTAGTAGTACATTTGACTGCCCTGAACAATGATCTAGAACAGTGTTTCTCAACCTTGTCAACTTTAAGATGTGTGGACTTCAACTCCCAGAATTCTGGCTGCCTGGGGAATTCTGCGAGTTGAAGTCCACACATCTTAAAAGTTGACAAGGTTGAGAAACGCTGATCTAGAAACTGCACCTTGTCCACTAACAACAAAATTTGTCTCTGTTAGAAACAGCAGCAAAAACTGCTTGGTATGTTCATTTCACCCCAATGCACTGTCATCTGAACTAGCTTTCATTCTGGGTCCCAATTCTAGTATACATAAATAAAGGATTAAATGGCTGCCATCAGGCACCAGAAGGCTCAATATACAACTGTCTAGACTTCCATTTCATCTTTAGATGCTCTTCACCATGAGGGTTATGGTGAGAAAGGCCTTATGAGCAATGATTCTTCAGTTGTGGAATATGCCACCTCAAAGAAAATAACCTAAATAGGTTGGTAATAGGATTTGGCTTACGAAGTGATGATATTAGCATGGATCTTTCTTATCAACTTCAATCATTTAAATTCTTGGGTCAAATTATAGTCACTATCAAGCTTAACCTTAATGGTTCAACCACTAATAAAGGAAAATATCCAGAAAATTAGAAGTTGCACTGACCTTGGCCCAACCATGAGGCAATCCTGGGATGATCCTCCCCATCTCCTCACTCCGGGCTCTTGTTAATGGTTCCCGTTGGGACTAAAAATAAAACACGCCCCCCAACAGATTAAACTCTGACAAGATAACACACTATGTAGCTGCTCTGATTTTTGCTGGGATGTGGAAAGTTTTCCACATACTAAAAGTTCCACCTAACAGCATATAAAATACGTTTGAGCCATTCAGTTACAAGCACTGCTTGTCTGGGAGAAAGATGGATCTCTACGTGGGAGGCTCTCCCCAGCATTTCTGATCTGGGAATGGGCTGCGGTAGGAAACAGTCCCTGGATGGCAAGGTAAGAACATGAAATCTGCTTTGCTTATGGGAATACAGAGACCTGGGAAGCTGGATTTGCGGTAACTTGATCTGGCTTGACCTGGAGACAAAGATCTTATCTCCACTGATTTCAGCAGTCCATTTGGAGACTTATGTAAGAAATGCAAGTAACCCTTTCATGGCAGTAACCAAGGGAGCAGTAGCTCTGATCCTACCATCAAGTCTTTAATACGCTGAACTGAATGCTAGGCTTGGATATTCAGCATTACAAAAAGCACTGATTCGGGACTTTGCAGCAAATAATCTGCATAATGTCAGTGTTTGTCCACTGAGGTCAAAGGCACACAGTGCTTGATTTTATAGAAGTTAAACAGAACTCCACAAAGTCACCCATGTTTTAATTTTAAAATGGAAATGTATCTAAGAGTTTCGGTTTTGTCCCTCTTTTATATTACAAATTATTTCTAATTATTTCTTCATTTCACAGGTAAAACAAACATTTCATCACATGGAAGGATGGGAGTACCATGGAATGAAACGGACACTTCCACTGAATTTGCTGGCAAATGCTGGTTTTTGAAATGTAACACAATGGTTTACATGTATTTCCTAGATGGCAACAAAGAGAGAATGAGGAAGTGTTATGACATCTGCTCTCCATTTCAGCAGCTATGACAAACACCTCATCGTGCATTTACTTTATGATTTTCAGATTCCTGCTCAGGATCCTCTCTAACAGCTCCTGGGATCTGAGATTCTCTTTCTGGTACTCCTTTAACCCCAGCCTGCTGTAAAACATTTTGAAAGAAACACTTTAAACTGTTATATCTTAACATATCATGGCCTAGCAGCCCATGTTTTTTTAAAGAAGGCGCATAGCTAGATCAAATAAAAGAACATTTTAGCTTGAAAATTTCAATTACCACTGTGGATATACATACCCAAGACACTGACCTGCAGTCAAAAATGCTGACTGGCAAATAAAACAGTCTCAGAGCTTCTGGCAAGTTCTAGCCTGTAACTAGCTTCAAAACTGAACACGCACCATGAAATTCCATGTGTTTTACATGAGGGGAATTCTGTTAACCCTCTCTAGCCATTGAGGAAATGGCAACCTTGTCCCTTCCTTTCCAGATGGGAAGTGCACATGGGGGCAATGGGAGAGAGAGGCAGATCCTCTTAGAGTTTTTCTCCCCCGCCCCCCGGAGCTGCCCATGGAGCTGGCCTCATCCTGAATTGTATTCCAGCTGGGATCAGCCTCCCTCCACTGTTCCCAGCCCGGGCTGGAAAAAAAAGGCTGCCAGGGCCCTCTGCTACCCTTGGGTGCCCGCTGGGCTGCTCACCTTGCTCAAGCCAGAATCCCCCCTCAAAGGCCCTTGGGATTCTTCTGCAAATCTGCGCCTCTGGATTTCTGGAGTCCAGATAACTTTTTCCTTTTCGCTGGCAGTACTTTTGTCAGTGTCAGCTTTCCTCACTTCGGGGGTTTCATTCACAGCTGTACTTTTCTTTTTCACGTCAGCTAACTCTCTGGGAACTTTCTCCACATCTTGTTTTCTATCAGCCCCTTTACTGGGCTGCTCTTCTTTCTCCTTCCTCTCTTGATCTTCCTTATATCTCTGGAGATGTCCTCTGCCTTCCCAGTCTCCACGATCCTCCCTGGCCCTCGGTTCCACCCTTTCCTGTCTTTCGACCTCCCTCTGCTCTTCTTGCCCTTCTTCTTCTTGCTCGTTTTTCTCCAACAGAGCAGCCTTTCTCAAGGGCCCTGGGCTTCTCTCTTCGTCCGTCAGGTTGGGCTTTGCATCCAGCGATGGCTTCGTGGAACGATCTGGAACCAGTTTCCCACTGGAATCTAGCTGCTTACCAACCGCCGGACTTTCAGCCTTTGCCTTATGGTCATCTGGAATTTTTGTGGAAGGTTTTTTTGTACGATCCACCTGGACCAAAAGAAAAAGAATTAAAGGACTGGTTTGCTTGCTAGATTCTCTCACATCTACTTCTTAGCTTTTTAAAAATAGTTTGGCCCGAGTTAAAAAAAATGCCAAACCCAAGATACAAGCCTATTAGGATACAGAATACAAATTGCATACGTTCAGGATCTATTTGGCCACATCCCCACCATCTTTTCTACCTTCCATACTACAAATGCTGGGAACTGCTACCTCTGCGTGATCATTATTTTACCAACAATAGGATCTACAACTACAGGAGCATTTCCTCCCTTACTCTTTTTTAAAAACAAAACAAAATTCATACTCATTCAGTCTACAAGAAGGAGAATGATACACAAAATGTCTATGAGAATGATACACGTCCATGCTATTATGATGCAGTCTAAACAGAGGGTTATCACTTGCACAAAAGCGATCACTCACCTGAGGAATAATCTTCATGGCAGGCAATGGCTGGCTGAGAATACCTGTAGGAGCAGCAGCAATTGTTCCACTAGGAATTAGCGATCTAAGTACCTCTGTTTTCTTCTCCTGCTCATCTGTAGTATCTGATTTTTCAGTCACTTCTACCACAGATGGTTTGACATAGACAACAGGCAGGGGAGCTGGAACTGGCTCTTCCAATGATGGATAAGTAAAGTCCACTGAAACAAACATACAAATGGAAGAGGCTAAACATTAAGAGGCGTATGCTGTATACTTCTTATATGCAATATATAAAGCAGTTTGGTGTAGTGGTTAAGGCACCAGGCTAGAAACCGGGAGACCGTGAGTTCTAGTCCCATCTTAGGCACCAAGCCAGCTGGGTGGCCTTGGGCCAGTCATTCCCTCCCAGCCCTAGGAAGAAGGCCATGGCAAACCACTTCCGAAATCTTGCGAAGAAAACTGCAGGGACTGGTCCAGGCAGTTGCCAGGAGCCGACACTGATTCAAAGGTGCACACGCACACAAGCAATATATGCTATAGGACTACCTACAGGCCTGTTTGTATGAACCTGTCCATCATTAAAAGACAAAGTCTACATATTGTCCTAAACTGTATTTTGGTTTCACCATCACTTGTTGCCTAAGCCAAATAGGTTCACACAACACACAGGACCCTAAACCAACTAACCAACTTCAATATCGGAGTTCCCACAACATACGAACATACGAAACCCAGTGTTGCTCAACTACATCCCCAGCACTCCACGCTACTGGTCATGCTGACTGGCACTGCTGAGAACCGGACTGGCAAGGTCTGGAGGGCTACAACTTGTTCCCCCCAATCTGAAAACATTCTGGGAAACACTTTAACTCCTGATTAGTAATTCTGGCTGCTGGGAATCTTCTTGGATTTGTTTTTGCAAAAAAGGAGTGTCCTTTAATTCAACCAAACCATGGTTGCTTAGGAATGCAACTACACGTAGCTTATACTGACCCCAACATAATTGTCCTTGGGATTGCAGAACTGAAAAAAAAGCCCCCTAGATAGAAAAGAGCCTCTTCTACTTACAAGACACAGAAACGGTTTCCTTCTGGCCACGTTGGGGCAAAGTCACTTTGGCATTGGTTGTATACTGAGGATAGCAAAGCAGCCAGTTTTCATAACCTCCATCTAAGACCAAAGGCTCGTTCTGTAGCACGGCTTTACTTTCCCACTGGAAGCAAAAGGCAAAAAAGATTTGACGAGAAGCAAGGGGATGTCCAAGCACAGAGCTTAAAGGCAGAGCATGAGAATGTGGAAAACCTTTTCCCAATTAAATTTCTCATAACAAACATGCATTGAACAAGTTTATATGAAAGTGGTGGACAATGCAAAATTACAGTTACTCTGAAGTCCTTAGGGAGCAGTTTGAATAAATACTTATTATTTAGAACAAATACATTAAAATATCAGTTCAGCCTTGCAACAATCTTGCTATAGGTTTGTAAGGTGAGAGCAGCATAAGATAAAGGATTTCTTGCTGAATGTTTACTCATCTACTTTTTTTTAAGTAGATGAGTAAATGAATGAATGAATGAATGAATGAATGAATGAGTAAATGAATTTGTCTTGTTTTTAAGGTAACAAAATAGGGTTTCTTCTCTAATTCATTCATAAAATCTTCTTAAAGGCTTGCTTACACATATGAGGATGCTAAGGGCCACAAACTTTTCATTCAATGCCCCAGGAGATGCCATACAGCCCAGGTTTATGAACCCTAGAAAATCAATCAACCAGTCGCTTCCCCTCTCAACTACATAATCATGACTGTGTTCCTTATATATCAAGGTAAGTAACCAACCATAAATCTGAACTTGCCTACCTTGAAAAGTGCATCTTTGAGGCTTCGTAAAGTTGTTCCTAACTTTAAGTCCTTTGCTGTACTAAACCAGTCAAGCAAGACAACATAATCAACTTGGCCCCTCTCTTTCCATGGCTCTTTAGAAGCATCTGGCAGTTTAGCTTCAATCCAGTTAGCAGTGACTCTGATGTTTGATGCAGTCCCAAAAGAAGAAAACAAGAAAGCATGCTCATTGTTCAAGGTACAGTTTGCCAGTCATCAGAGGAAGACAAGAGGCAATCAACCGCCCTCCAAAATGAAAAGTGGACTAAAATGGCAACCATGTTATTCACACAGAGCAGGGTCACATCTTCAGGTCTCATTGCACCCCTCAGTCACACATAAAGACACTCTTCAAAAACTAGAGACGGTACTGAGCAATCCCCAGGTCCAGCTTTTTGGTGAACTTGCCCAGAGAATAAAATGCATTCAGAAACATCCACTAGGCTGTGAGAACCAGCTGTCTGGTTCTTGCTCATTCCCAGAGCTCAGGTCAGCTGACACAACTCAAGACACTCTGCAAAAGTGTACAGGAGGAAGAGCGAAAGGGGGGAGACCAAGACACATACAGTGCATTCTTCTTTCACTGGAATCCCCATCCCTCCTTTTGATGGACGTATTGCTAGCTGCCACCATCAACTTTCTGCTTCTAATTGTGACCAGAACCATATATTAAAGAGAGAGCATTTCATTCCCCCTCTTTACTTCTAAGAGCCAAGGTGGCAAGACTAAACCAGAGCTCTCCATACCGTCATCCATATGAATGCAGGTCAGGAGTTTCCTTGGCATTTATCACTAGCTGACCATCACTACATCGCATGGCCAAAAGTTCCATAGGCTAATTAAGCATTCTTTAAAAAAGAAAACATTTAAAACTACTATTTGTACTTTAAACCTTTTATTGTGGTCAAGCAAACAAATGATCCCTATTTACATTTCCTTCATTCTGTGCTTGACCACTGGTCAATGATTTAGCACTCTGCAGTCTTAGGTTTCTATCAGAAAAGTTTATTCCATACCCAGGACTGATAGCTTCTTCTGGAACACAAACAGAATTTATAATGCAGGATTCCTTGTAATCCTTTAAGCACCGGGCATCCATGACCATAACCTTGGTGCTTTTATCCATCATCATTGTAAACAGCTTCTCAGCTGTGACTGTTCCTTTAAGAGACAGAAAATTATTTACCAAAACTAATCAAACAAGGCAGACATTTTCAATAAAGATGTTCTGAAAACTGCTAGATCTAAGTTATTGGAATGAGTGATGAACTTCCTCCATGAAATAAAAGTATACTTTTATTTATAATATGACTCAGGATTCATTTTGGTAACAGTCACTAGTTTCCACTGGAGGAAACAACTATTAAAACTGTCTACACATTTACATAGGGATTGCCAAGGACAAATAATTAATTAAAAACTGTGAATCGAACATGAAGTTGGCATTGAAGAAGAGTTCTGACGAATTATTATACAATATTTGTTTTGTATCTCAAAGTTTCCCAGCCTAAATTTTCAAACGTCAGCAGCACGCCATCAAAACTTGGTGGTATGTGTGAGTATGTATGGGGAGGTCCAAAAAATAGAAGCAAAATAGGAATGTTGATCTTTCAATAGGTTTGGTAAGCTTCTTTTACTTTTTTTTAAAAATCTGAGTTTCAAAAAAGACCACTCTGAAAATAGGCCAAACCTTTCGTTCCATCCATCCCTCCACTGTCACCATTGCCATGCCCTCTACTGCCACAGAAGTTGAGAAAAAGGAATAAAATGCACCTTCCCCTCATCGCCCAGGTAGCAGAGGATGTGCAGTCTGGATCACTTACGCAAAGTACCCACTATGAATGGCAGATAAAATCCCTCGAGCAGACATTTTGAGAGCACATGGTGGAACACATAGGTTCCTCCTGCTTTCCATGGGTGTCTGAAAATCAAAATTACTGCTGCTATAGCAAAATTGCTCTCAGAGGTTAATCTTGTGAAAGAGGTCTCAGTCTGCATCCCAAAGGAAACAGATGGGTATTTCCCCCTCCAATGGAAGTTGCTAACTTTTGGGGGCTACCAGAGATCAAAGATGTTTCTCTGAAATATGTCTGTGGAAAACTTTCCACTTGTGGTCCCTACTATTCAGGGATGAGTAAGGAAATGATGCTTACCATTCTCAGAAGAATCCTTTTTGTCTGCCAAATTTTTCTTGTCTCCATTGATCTGTATTATTTCAGCATTAAAAATAGGTTTAGTATTTAAGAAAAAAGGCATTAGAAATGGTATTTTTCCAGACTTATTGTTATGAATATATCCTGATAGAGTCTCCATGGATTGGGTCTTTACACTCAAGATGTGGAAGCTGGGACTCTACCACAAGGAGCCAAATGAGGCTGATACTAGTAAGAAAAGAAGGAGGTAGATCTGGAGCAGGTTCTTCTTCCTGGTTAACCCCAGAATGCTGTTTGCAGAGGACTACATTTTGCTTCTATCTTTTTCCCTACCTGCCTAGCAAACACCCTGTTCCTTAAACAAACTGAGAAAACATCATGAATCAACCCCACGTACAGATTTCATCAAGGTAATCCTAGCATAGTGCAATGTAACTAATGCCACATTTGAATTCTGTTAGAAAAGGTTCCTGTCCAGACTGGATATTTAGGCTTTCCGCTGCCTGAATTTGTTGGTCTACAGTGTCTAGCCAACTGGCGTCAAACTCTGCAAGCATCTATGCACAGGGTAGCTGAATTCATGGTCTGACTCTCAATAGTAAATAGAGTTGACATGGAGGCTTTAATTAGGACAGGATTTAATCATTATGTGGCATTTTCCAACCTAATGATTTTCTGGCTACGTAACATGGAGAATGTATTCAATAAAAGGAATTCAACAGTAACCTCAATAGCATTTTCACAAGTTTAAGGGGAACCAACAGAAAGTGTATGTCTCTGTGTACTCATGATGAACTAAGAGCACCAGAGCAGATTGCTAAACATAGTTATAAACTAGGTCACTGATGACCTTTTGGGGGATAGATGAGGGATTTGAAAAGGCCTTCAGAGTCTTTCCAGACCATTAACCACCTGGCTCTAGCCTCAATCATGCAGATTTAGATAGTCATAACAGGATTTTCTTAAGTTCAGAATTTCTGAATCTAACACTCTCCAGATGGATTGCAGTTCAACTTCCATAATTTGGGAAGGCCAAATTTAAGCTAAGTATCAGTTAAATTTTGTTCTCAACCTTGCAAAACATATTTGTAGTTGCAATCAATCTGACTAACCATATATTTTAAATAGCTTCTTTTTCTACAAAGAGATTTCTTAATTATACAGAGCAGAAATATCAGAAAGATAAATAGTGGCTGAATTACCAGCTGATTTTTTCCTTTGGGATCTGATGAAATTTCTGAAGAGGTTTTAACATCGTCTTTCAATTCTTGCTTTTTCAGCTGCTGTTCCTCTTGCCTTTCCTTCTCCTCCAGTTTCTTTCGCACTTCTGCTTCTTCATACCTAATTGAGTAAGACATTTTTGTCTTTCCCAAGCATTATACAGTTTGGCAAGTGTAGCTTTTTAAACACAGACTTTGTTTAAGATTGTCTCACCTTCTTAAATTACTGGTTATAATCAGTTCAGATTAAGACTAATATGTTTCATAATAATAAAAAATGTGAAGACTAGGTAAAATAAAAAGCAGCAGCAGCAGCAGCAGCAGCAGCAGCTCTCAAATGAAAATCAAATTAAAGAGGATTTGCAGTTGGCCAAATAAAGCTTTTCATATTACCTTTATCATAACACACAAATAAAGGAAAATGCATCATCAGTGTTTAAAAGATATGGCTCATAACTATGAACTTATACTTGTATCTGTAGAAAAAGAGTTAGTTCCAACAATAGAAAATAAAGTTAGCTCAGGGATGAACTGTTGGGTTTTTGGTGTCCTGCAGGAAAACCATCAATCTCAGAGAACACCAAGAACCCAAAAAAGAGAGCTATTTCTGGAGGAAAAAAAAAAAAGGTTTGATACATTTGTTAAACTCTTTTGCAGTTGGGCACATGAATCTGAAGCCCATTCCTCTGTTCAGTCAGAGGCCCTGCTCTGCACTCTCTCCCTTCCTGTGTGTGACACAGAAATGACACCCATCAGGTATGGCACTAATATTCTGAAAAGTCTGCAAATTCTTGGCTAATGGGAAACAAATTGTATAGGAGGAATACCCTCGCTGTGACTAACAAATAAAAATACAGTAGATCAGGGTTCCTCAACCTTGGCAACTTTAAGACGGGTGGACTTCAACTCCCGTCTT